GCCTCTCGGGCGCAAGCCCCACAGCGGAAGGGCGGCCGCGAGGCCGGCGGCGCAAGCGACCGACACGCGCACCACGCCACCCGACGCGGCGACGACGGACCCAAACGGCACAAACCGGTCGAACGCGCCCTTGGCAGCGCCCGCCTAGTGGCGACGTCGTCACGGGCGGAGTGGTCGGGATGTCGCGCGTGGTCCACGCAGCGCGGCTTGGTGGTGGGGGCGATGGCGGTGGCGGGGACGGCGGAGGGGGTGAGGGAGCGGGCGGCGACGGGGGAGGCGGGCTCGGTGGGGGCGGAGACGGGGGAAGTGGGCGTGGCGGCAGCGGGCTTGGTGGTGGCGGCGATGGCGGTGGCAGGCTTGGTAGTGGCTGTGATGGTGCGGGGCGGCCCTCTCCTCCTCCGCGTCCGAGTCGTCTGGGTCGGACTCGCTCAGCCTGGAGTACGAGACGCGCGCCTTCTAGGAGCCTTCTAGGAACCTTCTACTAGGAACCTTCTAGGAACCCTCTAGGAACCTGGAGTACGAGACGCGCGCCCGCCCGCCGCGGCCCCACCGGTTCTCCCACGCCCACTCCGGAGGCGGCGCGCCCGCCCCTCCAACCTAGAAGGTTCCTAGAAGGTTCCTAGAAGGCTCCTAGAAGGTTCCTAGAAGGCGCCCGCCCCTCCAACCTCCCGCAGCAGCGCCGTCACCCGCGGGTGGTCGCGCAAGTGGTTGCGGTCGGCAAGAGCGAAGAGCAACGCGCTCTGCGCCTCACGGGGACAGCTCGCGCCGCCGCCGCCGCCGCCGCCGCCTCCGCCTCCGCCGCCGCCGCCGCCGCCGCCGCCGCCGCCGCCGCCGCCGGCGGACAGCCCGGCCAGCCCGGCCAGCAGCGCGGCGTCGATACCGCGCAGCCGCTTGAAATCGACCGCCTGTGGGGTACGGGTGCCGAGATGTAGCGCCGAAATAGAGCCGCGATCTAGCCGGCATGGGGCCGCCTGCCGTGGCGGTGTGCAGTGCCGAGAAGTAGCCGCGATCTAGCCGAGATCTAGCCGAGCTCGAGCCGAGATCTAGCCGAGATCTAGCCGAGCTCGAGCCGAGATCTAGCCGAGCTCAGCCGAGCCTCGTCGAAGCGGCGAATGGCGTCGCTCAGCGCGCCCTCCCACGGGTGGGCCGCGTCTACTGGGCGTGTCCATGGCGTGTCGTGGACGTGTCCTGCACATGCGCCCTCCCACGGGGAGTCGCGTGTTGCAGCCGCACCCGCGCCAGCCTCGCCCTCGCCCTCGCCCGCGCATGCCTCGCCCGCGCATGCCTCGCCCTCGCCCGCCTGCTCGGCCTCGCCGGTCGGCTCGGCCGCGGCGGCGGAGGGAGGCAGGTTGGCGCTGCTCTCGCCGAAGATGGTGTTCTTTTCTTGCTCGTCCGGCCCGGCCGGCGGCACTGCGGCCGGCATCGCCCCGCCGACCGTCTCGAGCTCTGCCTCCGAGTCCGAGTCCGTCGCGAACTGCGCCTTCTTGACGAGCTGCAAGCGAAGTAGCGCGTACGCCGGCGGCGAGGCCGCCGCAGCGGACGCGGCGGCCGCCGGTGCCGGCGTGGCGCCGAGCTGTGGCGCGGCTGCAGGCACCGCAGGCACCACGAGCCGGACCGCTCGGTCTTCCCGCGCCGAGCAGAGGAGGACCTAATCCCATACCTCCACAGTATCGAATCCCGTGTGGGTTCCCTCCCATGGGTGGTGCGGTAGCAGAGGGTGACCGCTGGGTCGGCGTCCGTTGCGCCGCGCGGCGGCGCGGCGCGGCAGAGCACCGGGTGGAGCGGCGTCGCGAGCGGCAGAGCGAGGTGGGAGCGCATCGCCTCGGCCGCCCGCTGCAGCCGGCCGAGCTGCCGCTCCGGAGGGAGCCCCTTGGCTGCTAGCTCCGCCCGCAGCCCCGGCGCGCAGGAGGGCGGGAAGGGGCGAGGAGGCGGCTTCTCCTTCTTGCGCGCGCGCCGCCGCTTTGCCGCGACGGATGCCGCTTGCTCGGCCGTCGCACCCGAGGATGCCGCCGGCTTCGCTCCTTGACCGCCGGTGCCCGGCCCCGCCGCTTGACCGCAGATGCCCCCGTCTCCACTGGCGCCGTCGAGTGACGAGATTGCGCGAGATTGCCCCTCGAGTGACGAGATTGCGCGAGATTGCCCCTCGGCTCTGCAGGAGAACACGGCGGGCGAGCCGGCGGGAACCGGACACCCGGCCTCGGCGGCGTTCGCAGCGGCGGTGGTGGTGGCGGCGCTGGCGGTGGCGGCGGTGGCGGTGGTGGCGGCGGTGGCGTTGGCGGCGGTGGCGGCGGTGGCGGCGTTGGCGGCGTTGGCGGCGGCTGCGGCTGCGGCTGTGGCTGTGGCGGCGGCGGCAGCTGCCGCGGTCGCGGCTACAGTGGCGGTGGCGCCGCCGGTGCCTTTGCTCCATCGCGCGCCTGGCCGCGGGTGCGGTCTCGGGTGTGGCGCTTGGGCGGGCGCAGCCACGGCTGGCGCTTGGGCGGGCGCAGCCACGGCTGGTGCGGCCGGGGGGGGCGTCTCCGCTGTGCCTCCGGCCACGCCGCTCGGCGCTCCTCCGCCCTCTCCTCCGCCCTCTCCTCCGCCCTCTCCTCCGCCCTCTCCTCCGCTCGCTCCTCCGCCCTCTCCTCCGCCCTCTCCTCCGCCCTCTCCTCCCTCCTCGCACGGCGCCGCTGCCCGCGCGTCGCGCTCCGCCGACGGCGCCAGCGCGCCCTCCTCGCTGCTGTCGCTGCCCCTGTCGCTGCCCCTGTCGCTACCCTCGCCGCCCGCTTCCGGCGCGGCGGGTGCCGGGAGGAGACCCTCTCGCACGAGCATCTCGCGCCACCTCAGCTCTGCGGCGGAAGGCCCCGCCGCAGCCTCGCCGCCGCCGCCGCCGCCGC